TAAATGTGGCCAATAATAACATTGGCAATACGAGTGTTTGAACGTCCGACCCCCCAGTGGAATATTGATAAAATGGTGCTTGTTTGCAAGAAAGAAGAAGAAAAAATAATTAAATATTTGATATAGAAATTAGATTAAAAATAAACGAAATGAAAGTAGAAATTAGATGAAAATAGTATAAATGTGAGAAGCAAATTCACAAGTGCTGGAATTTAGCATTCTAAAAAAGCAAAAAAAAAAAATAAAAAAAAAATGCGCTGTGTGAATATGCCTAACGCATGCAGGTATTTGCTGGAATTTGAATCTTCTTGTGGTGGTATCCGCAGACTTGCAGGAAAAACTGTTTACACATGAACATATATACAAGCATATGTTATGTTAATTGTTGTAATGATTGTTTGAAAGAAAAATTCTAAATGTATTAAAGTAAAATACACACATTGACACATATATATATATATATACTCATGAAGGTATGCCGATCTGTGCAACATATTTTTTGTGTGACTTTATGTACTGCATAAGCTCATATAATTGTTTGAAATAATTGTTAAAACTTATGAGCCCATGCATATACATACATACATATAATAGAAAAAAATAAATTAAATAATTTAATGATACAATATATACAATGTCATGTGTGTTCCAAGTACCATATTAGGTTTCTTAAGGTCCATTGCGCGACAGAAAAAAGATTGTACGAAAGTGTCAAAATATATATAACATACATACGTACATACATATATTGTAGAAATGTACGGAACTTTGTAGTGTATTGTACTTGTATTGTATATTTTAAGTGAATTGTATTGCTTTATGATTATGTATTGTAGTATGTTAAATCGTCTGGATTATTTATGTATAAAAGTGTAACAGCTGAAAAATAATAAATAAATAAATAAATTTATAAACATACATACACACCAGGACTTTTTACTTTAAACTCACATTTCGAGTATTTCGAAAAGTGGCGGCTACTTGCGGCTTGCAAGTAGCATTACTTACGCATGGCAGCATCCTGCCTGAATACAGAAAATAAACAACTCGACCCTCTTCGGTCGCATTTCCACCAAGTTCGTCTCGAGTTGCGACACGAGAAAACTTGCTGCCATCACAGTGCGAGAACTAAACAAATTCTCTTCGTAGCAGTTCGCATCTGGTAGCTAAAGGTATGCCAATCCTGAAAGAATGTACTGGGTCATACCTGACCTGGAAATTCCCCTCTTGGCCTCTGTTCGGTGAAGTCATCTCCAGAAAAAGTTCACACGATTTTTAAGTTTATACTGATCGAGCACTCATTCAGCAACTCGGTATACGGGACCTGTAGGATGGCATTTCAAGCTCTTTACGTACATCTGCAAACGAAACTATTGGGTTTCGTAAAGGTCGCAAAAACAGCTAGTACGATGAGGACTGCAGTGTCGCGGTGGAGAGAAAACCGACTGCCTACCTCGCAACCTTGCGGTCGACCACAACACGTGCGAGATAAGATAAATACCAAGAGATGAAGAGGGAGGCAATACGCATCTGCAGACAAAAAAAAAGAAATAAGCCGAGATGTGTGAGTAAGAAGAGCTTGAGAAGCTAGTCGACAAGGGCAATGCTCAAAAATTCTACGAAAAGATACAACGACTTACAGAAGGTTTCAAGACCGCAGCAGACTCTTGTAGGTCACAAAGAGGTGATCTAGCCGCCGATGCCCAGAATATACTGAATTTATGGAGGGAACACTTCTCCAACTTGCTCAATAGTACTGGAAATGGAGAGTCCGGAGATGGTGAACCCAAAACCCCTATCGATGATGATGGAAAACCTGCCCATGAAGAAGTTCGAATAGCAATCACCCGTTTAAAAAACACCAACAACTTAAAAAACAACAAAGCGGCGGAAGCTGACGGCAGAACTATTCAAATATGGCGGTGAAGAGCTGACAAGGCGTATGCATCAGCTACTTTTCAGAATATGGTCGGACGAAAGCATGCCCGACGATTGGAATTTAAATGTGCTCTGCCCAACCCATAAAAAATGGAACCCCAACAGGCTGCGCCAATTACTGTAGCATATAGAAATAGGATCGACACTCACCACCTCTTCGTCGATTTTAAAGTCGCCTTCGACAGCACGAATAGGAGCTGCCTTTACGCCGCTATGTCTGAATTTGGTATCTCCGAAAAACTTATATGGCTGTGTAAGCTGACGCTAGACAAAACCAGAAGCGCAGTCAGAATTTGGACCTCTCCGAGGTAGAGAAGGTGATTTAATAGTGTACAACTACTGGCGTACGCCGATGATATTGACATTATCGGCCCTAATAGTCGCGACGTTAGTTCTGCTTTCTCCAGGCTTGATAAAGAAGCGAAGCGAATGGGTCCGATAGTGAACGAGGGCAAGACGAAAAATATGAGTGTCATAACTTTGAAGTCATAGATAACTGCGTCTATCTTGGAACCATCAAAAAATCCACCCTTGAAGTTCAATGGCAAAACTGTCTTGCCAACAGGGTCTACTTTGGGACTAACGTAGGCAATTGAAAAGTAAAGTACTCTCTCGCTAAACCAAAACCAAATTATATGATGTAGAGGCATGGACAATATCTTATGAGTCGGCGTTGGCATTAATCGGAAGGTCTCCACTCCATTAGAAAGCCTTGGTGGAAATAACCTTCCTGTAATTGGTATTTCCAAAAACGGCGACAATTAGGGAAAATAAAGAATGCATGGTGCGCTGTTATTAACTCAGCAGTAATCGAGGATTAGAAGAAATATTGTCCTAAGAATATTGTGTCTGATGGGAACATCTTTGAATGACACAAATCGGAAACATAAATTGTTGGAAAACTTCTTTTGTTTTTTTTTTTTTTTTTTGAAAAAGGAAACTTCAAGGCAGCCAAAAGAGAAATTTCCAAACCAAATCCTGCATCAATAAACTCCTCCCAAATGTTTTTATGAATATAAAAGACAACAAATAGCATTTATTTTCTTATTTTTATTGAATTTTTTTCTCATCCTTTTTATTGTATATTTTTTACACAAACGCAACACATAAATTTTATTAATGTTTAATTTTATTATTCGTTTTTGTTATTGTTTTTTTTTTTCTATTTTAGCAATTTAATGTGTTGTATTTTTTATTTCAAACATCAGTTCGGTATAAAACTAAATTATGTAATAATGTGTATGTATAAATTTAATTAACTTAATTAAGCATAAATTAATTGAATAAGTTAATTAGAACAAAAAATAATTAAATTAACTTAAAACAACTTAAAAGTACGTATGTACGTATGTATGTATGTATGCATGTATGTATGTATGTATGTGTGAATGTTTGAAGAAGTACAGAATTCAGTTGTTATAAATAAATTATGTCTATATGTATGCTTTTGTGTGTTCGTGTGTGTCAGCTTTTATATGTAATTTTGCTATTTATTATTTATTTGTAATGTGATATCTGTGGAATAAATAAATTAATGTTTAGTGATATGAATGAATTCTTGTTTGTATGTTTGTAATTATGCTTAAATGTGTATGTATGCGTGTGCTATATTTGTGTTGCCAAAAACACATTTGTAAAAACAGAAATATTAAATACTTTTTTTTTTTAATTAAGTGAAAATTAAGTACTGTTGATTTTTTTTTAATTACTATTATTATTACTTTTTTTGTAATTAACATAAATAAGAACTATATTATATTTATGCATATTATTGACTGGTATTGTGTAAAAAAATTAATAAACTAATGACTAACACAAAACTAAACTCTAAAATTTATTAAAAAAAAAAACAAATAGCGGAAAAAGTGTAAGAAAAATTTAACTGTAATTGGTAAATTACAAATAAATTTTTTCTGTTTGCGCATTCGAGACAAAAACAAATAAATTCCTTTAATTTGGAAAAAACGCTTTTTGTAAATTTTTTTATTTAAAGAAATTAAAATCAAAATGCGTAATTTGCGTGTTATAAATTTTGAAAACTGGTATATTTCTAAAGAAAAAATTTTATAAAAAAAATTATTTTGTAAAAATGAAAAACAAAAACAAAGTCTTTTCAACTGCCTATGTAGGTGTATGTACGTGTGAGGAGTTGTGCATGTAACAAAATCATATTCATTTTTTTTGAATGTGGCTATTAAATACATATGTATGTATATTATGTATGCGCGTGTGTGCTTGTGTATTGTGTACATATGTCAGAAGTTATGTCTGCACTACACTATTATTTATATGTAGATATTTGTATGTGTACGTACATTAAAGAGGCTGAGCTGGTTACATTTCATTAGCAGTTTTTTTTGTTGTTTATTTAAAAATTTTCTTTTGTATGTGCGTATTTTAAAATTTTTTACAATTTGTCTTTGTTTTTTTTTTTTGTTTTTTAATTAATAAAATAGCCTATCATTATTTGGTATGCTCTGTTTTTGTACATTTTTGTGTTTGTTATTTTTTTTTAAATTGTTATAAAAAGTAATTTATTAATTTTTTTTTTTTTGGATTTTTTGGAAATGTTTTGATAATGTTTTTTTTTTTGGAATTTACATATACTTTTTTAATATATTTTTTTCATTTTATTTTTTTTTTTATTTTTTTGTTGTAGCTTTTTAAATATTTTTTTTTAATATTTTTTTTTCTTGTTTTATTTATTTTTCATATTTTTAATAAACATACTCAAATATGGGTGTTTAGTTTTCCGAAACGATAAGCCAGCAATTAAAATGTATGGCCATAAATTCATATGCTGTATGACATTTATAGGCCAGGCAATAAAAATTAAAGTACAAACAGATGTCCATATACACATACTCATGATATGAATATTGATACTTGATGCCTTTACAACAACATAAGCATCTATGTATACTGATGTTCTTATCATGAATATGTAAAGCAATAAAAATTAAAACATAAGATAAGATTATCTATTCGTAGGTAATCTTCTAATGTAAACATACTTATGTACACATATGCATGCATGTAAATTTTCACATTACAAATTTATATAAATAAACGCTCTACAGATTGTGGAGTCAGTTATACTTAAACCAACTGAAAGTAAAGTGATTTAATTCCCGCCTCAACAATGGGGTAGCACCTTTACAGGCATTTTAACTATCTATAATAAAACGTACAATACAATGGTATTATATTTCACTTTAGGAACCGTTCTTTCTTATATTCGTGTGCTTTCATTTACATACGTACGTACAACTGCCTATTGTTTACAAATGTTTGTGCGTGTTTGTATTTGTTTAAGGTGGGGAGACGACATTTTCACATATCCACAATTGATTTATTTGTCTTCTTTCTGTAATAAGTAGAGTGAAAATAAAATTTTGAATTAGTAAAAATTGTTTTATCTTAGTTTTTCATTAGAGTAATAAAAAAGTACACTAAATAATAAAATAAAAAAATTAAAAAAAAAAAACAAAATAAAAAAATAAGAGCCAAAAAATAAAAAATTAAAAAAAAATATTAAAAAACTCAAACCCATTATTGTTTTAGATATTTTTTTAAATTTATGAAAAATTTAAAATATTTAAAAAATTAAAATAAAATTATTTATTTTTCTTTTTTTATTACAATAATCACAAAGGGTTGGTAAAATAAAAAGAATCTTGAATAATTACCAAAAAAAAAACATTGAAAAAAGATGGTACAAAAATATAAAATAATTATTTTATTGTTATTTTGTATTTAATTAAATACTTTCTTTTCTTCAAAAGAAAGATTTTTTCCCAAAAACCTAGAATTTTTTTAATAATCAGAACTACTCAACTACTTCTAATATTTAAAAATTAAAAACTTTCTCAAATTTAGCTCCAAGGGATACTTACAAGTACTGGATAGACAAAAGTATCCGCAGAATCCTTGCCCATAGCGTTACGTGCTATACACCGGTAAGCGCCCATATCTTCCCATTTAATATTCGAGAGTAACAAATCACCAGATGGTAAGATTTTGAAACGATGATTTGGTTCGATCAATTTACCCTCACCATTCATCCAGAAGACCTCAGCACGCGGACGAGCATGAACTTTGCATGGCAAGACAATGTTCGAATCGACCAGGTCCAAATGTAATTTCTCATTATACACAATACGTGGTTTTTGTGGTCCGGGGAATGGTTTGTCACGTACTTGCACCAATTCTTTCATATCTGGTTGAGGATAGACAATTGTCGAACTATAAATGGTCTTACCGCCAGTGCGACCGATGCAAGTGTAGGTACGGGCCTCACTCAACATATGATCGATAACATGTACGGAACGTACGCGTACGATGGCGCTGGGAGAGGACTCGGATATGACATTGGATTCAACGCTGTCGATCTGTTGGAAATTAGAGAGAGAGAGAGAGAGAGAAATAAAAAGAATAATTAGTTTAGTCTGTCAAGATTTGCAGGGAAAAATTTTTTTAAGTACTCCTCTTGAACTACTTTTTACTGGCGGGGAGGAAAAAATTGTTTTTTTTAATTTGTTTCAATTTTTTTTTTTTTTTTTGATAAGCATACTTTTAGTATTCTATGAAATTTTTAATTTTAATTTTAATTAATTTTTTTTTGTCGAAAAACTTTTTAATTTCAATTTCTGCTTCTTTTTTAAATACATTTTTTAATGTTTTTTTTCTCTCTTTTTTTCTTCAAAATTTACTAAAAATTCCCTTGCCATTTCTCTTGACTCACCTCAGACAACGGCAAATGTCCGACAACCCATTGTACGGTGGGCACCTGTGAGCCCATCACCTCGCAAGCAATCTCAACGGGTTGACCGAGCGATTGCAACAATTGTGTTGGTGGTTTCTTTGCGAATTTAATCCAATCCGTTTCGAAAGGCGAACGTTGTTTTGGTGATTGTCCAACACCATCATCGCCACCACCACCACCACTACCACCGGCGCCAGTGCTTTCAATGGAATTATCAACCTCATCGATGGCTCTGCTCTGTATGCAGGCAGCAAAGAGCACAAGCTGTGCTATTAATAACATATTTATGTTCATTTTCTGTGAATGAAATGAAGGAAAAAAAATCATGAGATTAAATCTTGTAGAAGAAGTAAAAGTCGTAAAAAGTATATATGTATATAATAATTTAAAATTCTCAAAAAAAAAAAATATATATATATATATATTTATAAACGATGGCATAAAATATGCGCATAAATAGGTCAATCAACCTTAGAGAAAATATCAGTTCATCCGCAGTGCAATTATGATTGATAAGAGCATAAAACGGAAATCAAAGTCAATTTAAATTTATTGAAATGTACGCAAGTGTGGCAGGCCCATCAACAAAAAAAAAAAGATTAAAAAATCTATAAAAAAATAAAATAAAATCAATTATGCACTCCCAAGCGATCTAACAACAGCATTTCGCTCAACACACACTAAACAACTCTGGTTTACTTTAATTAATCATTGCATATAATTTTTTCAATATTCTTTTCAAATAAATTTACATATTATCCGGCTTCATAAAAAAAAAAACATCTTAAAACTTCAGACGAAACATGTTTGAACGTGTGCCCCTGTGCATATGCTTATACGTATTTAAATACATCATTTGTAGTATATATGTGGGCGCCTAGGCTTTTCTACGTTTTACTGTTTAGACACACGCTTTTTTTTTTTTTTTGATTTCAATCGATCAGTCACGGCATACGATCTACACACAAATGCTGAGGTTATCTTGAAAATCAAAAAAAAAAAATCTAAAATTTAAAAGCTCAGTCACTGCTGCATGCGCCGATCGTCTCAAGTTGAGACTTCAAATTCATTTTAATTATTAAATGTCATAAAATATAAATAGGTGATTTGTTGCTGAGCACTTGCTACGTACTGACTGTCACTACGCGCACTAAAAAGTGCAGAGATAAGACGCGCGGCTTTATATATTAAGTGAATTTGCAAAAAAGAAAAACTCTCTATATTTATAACATATGCATATAGTATATAGTTTATATTATATACATAGTTATTGGTACGATTATTCGCAGATAGATGTTTGTACATATGTATGTGTATGCTTCCATCTCTATAACAAGCAACAGGCAGGTACTGTTAGCCGATGATTTGATTTACCGATTAATTGCTTGAGTCCAGAAGCCTCTGCAGCAACGCGTCAGCGTTTCGAAGATGCTCGTCGTAACGGTGGTAGCATCACACTAATTGTCATGCTAATTAGGTAAGACGAGCAAACGCTTAAATAACCAACCGAGCGCTTCGAACAAACTCAACGCAAAGCGAGAAAAATTAAGTAAAATAAAATAAAAACTCAAGCAAACATTAAAAAGAAAAAAAATAAGAACAAAAAAGCAAAAGAAGAAAGTAAAAAATGTAAAAATAAAAATAATAATAAGTGGAAATAATCTTAATAAAAAAAAGAAAGATAATGAAAAAATTAAACATTTATGGAAATCACGTCATGAGTCATTAGTCATGAGTGTGCCACGTTCGCTTTGCCATTCCTTTCGTTGGCTTTTAGCTCAACAAAAAAAAAAAAATATATATATATATATACAAATATACATATACCTAAATTTGCATATAAGTCCAAACACGATATTAAATATAATAATTAAATGTATGTAATATAATTGTTAAAGTACACATTTCAATTTAAATGTGCTAATCATTAACGTCCCGCAAGGAAATTTCAAAATTCTTGGAAATGTTTGTTTTTTCGTGTAAGTTACCTAATTTCAATTAATTAACCTTCAAAAAACCTATAAAGCTAACTTTGCGTATGTTTTTTCTTCAAAAGTTAGAAATTTTGTTGATTTTATTTAAGATTAGGTTGTTTTATTTTATTATTGTTTTTATTATTTTGTATCATTTTTAATATTTTTTTATTTAAAATATTGTATTTTATTGGTTCATTTCAGTTTAGTTTATATCATTTTATTAAAATGCTTCATTTTATTTTGTATTTCATTTAATTTTAGTTTAGTTAAGTTTGTTTTATTTAATTTTACTTTATTTAATTTAATTTATTTATTTTATTGGTTTTTATTTTGTATAATTTCCATTTTTTTCTAGTTTAATTTTCCTTGTTTCATTTTAGTTTAAATTTATTTTTATATTTTATATTGAGTATATATATATTTTTTTTTGATTTTATTTAGTTTTATTTTTTATTAATTTCAATTTTGTTTTCATTTTATTTATTTTATTTTATTTTATTTTATTTTATTTTATTTTAATTAAACTTTTTAATTCTTTTTTGTATGTATATAAATGTACATAAAAAATATATTTTTAACATACTGGTAATTTGTTTTCGGCACTAATTCTGTGGAAAGATAAATGAGCAAAAAATATTTCTTCACAGCAAAATTTGTGTTTGCTATTTTTTTCTTACACGGCCCCATCAACTTTTCATATTCACTCTCATGCAGCAGATGTGTGTGTGGCCGTGTATGTGTTGCTTTAGCGAAATCCTCGCGACTTTTAATGCGCGCTATTAAATGCTCGTAAAAACCATTTAAATTTTTTTAATGCCTTAGCTAATAGATTTTGTGAATTTATAGGTTTGTATTATGTTAATCGCATAATTCTCAACCGTTAAGCTGTTTATGACATTAATGATTAGTTTAATAGTTTATTTGAAATATTATTGGATTTTAAATTGGGTCAAAATCAATAGAAAAATATAGTCATGATGTGTTTCTTAGTGAGTGGTAATATATAACTTTTTTCTTTAAATAATTTATGCCTCCGAATTATGCCTTCAGTTCTTTATTTTGTGTTGCCAAAGGTGAATTTCAATTTTTTTTTTTTAATTTAAGCTAATAATTGAAAGTGGCATTTTCGCAGTTTTAACAAAAAAATTTTTTATAATCATCAAAACAGATTATCAATAGGCTTTATTATATATGATAAAGATAATTTGTTAGATCAGTTATCGTGCTTTTATCATTGAAATTACAAAAAAACAAACTGAAAATGCTGTGAAAGTGAACTTTACAATAAAATATAGCATTTCCAAGCTTGTACTGGAAGATCTTCACGTGCCAAAATAGTTTTTTTTATTTTTATTTCTCTTTGTTGATCAGCCAGCACACGTATAGACTTAACAGAAACTAAGAAAATTAGTGAATGAATGCGTTACACACATATAAGTACAACAATTTTGGCACAAATTTCCACAATGATGAGCTCGATTACCACTAGTTTCCTTGCCATGCAAGAGGTGCCAAAAAAAAGCAAAATCAATGAAAAAATTAATAAAAGAAGCCTGAGAAGAAATATACTTCTTTAACAGAGGAACTTATGTGCACATCTATATATATATGTATATTTAACTAGATACAGTGACAGCGTAAAATGTAAATGATCAATGTGCTTTTTTTTTGTTGTAATGTCTGGTCACTTTTGAACATTTTTTTCCGATTTTATATATATGTAGGCATTACTTCTTCTTGCATTATATATGTGCATGCGCTTGCAGATATCTACAATATGTATGTTTGTGTGTATGTATTTAACATACCCACTTCACATTAAGTATGCTCTATTAAGCTTTTGCCTACACTTGAGGTGACGATCAGCGCACATACTCATTCGCCACGCAAGCAGGCCACTTAAATGCTCTTCACTTAATCACCGTCTGGTTAAATCGACGATTGTCTACTCAGCTCATATTGTATATGCATATATGTATTTGCATGGGATTGTACATATGAACAGAGTATCAAGTTGAGGTTTTTGTCTTTTTTTTCTTTCTCTTTTTTTTCTGTTTGGTTTTGTTTGAGCAAATATATGACACATATTGCATCAGAAAATTTAAATAATTTCATTTTGATATACTTAGGTAATTTCTAAAATAAAGTATTATATATTTATGTACGTAAATACATATAGGAAATAAATATTTATTATTGGTAAATCCACGGAAATGAAAAAAATTAAAAGAGATTTGTTATTAAATAAAAAAAAAATTATTAATTTTTGCCTAAAATATACAAATATTATAGTATTGCTAACAGGAGAAATTAGACGCAAAAAGTCTGAAATGATTGGGGTAATTAATTTTATATAAATCAGGAAAATTTGATAATCAAAAATTTTTCGCTTTACTAGGGCTATGATTTTATTTTACTTTATTTATTTTATTTTATTATATTTTGCTTGAATTAATTTTTTTTTTAATTTTTTCAATTAATCGAAAACTAAGTAAATTTTTTATTAAATTTTTTAATTATGCTTTTTTTTGTATTTAATTTAATTTAAATTACTTTTATTAAATTAATAACATTTTATTTTTAATCTTTTTTCATTAATTGTTGTATATCTTCTTTTAATTCATTCGACTAAGTTTAAATTACTTTATTTTTTTATTTATATATTTTTATATTTTAATTAATTTTTTATATTACTTTACTTTTTAATTAATTTAATTAAATTATTTCATTTTATTTAAATTTTTTATTTAACCTTATTTTATATTATATATATAATAGGCGCTTTGTAGCCGCTGAATCGAGTTTTCGGCCGAGCTCTTTCTCCAATTTGTGGTTTTTGCGCCTATATGTTTTTCCAGCAAACGGAGGGACCTATAGTTTATTCTAAACCACCTCCGAACGGCTGATAGTTTTTTTTTTGTGTCAGAAATACACTCGGAGCGGTCGATATTCCCTGCCGTGGGGCGACAGCAAATTAGAAAATTTAATTTAATTTTTTATATAAATTAATTTTCCATAACCCGAACCCGAGCCTTCCGAATGGCAGTAAGCAATGCTAACCACTCGGTTACCGCTGCCGCCGTTATATATTATTTTATTCTAATTTTTGTATTTCATTTATTTTTATTATTTTTATATAACTTTTTTAAATCAAATGAATGTATTTTTTTATTTGTTTTTTTTTTTTTATTAGTTCGGTTTATTTTATTATGTCTTTCTTTATTTCGCCTAATTCTTTTTTTATTAAAATCATAGTAATAAAGTATTTTATTTCAAATTAATTTATTTTTTAACTGTTTTTTTATATTTATTTTATTAAAATTTTTTACTTTTATATTTTATTCATTTGTTTTCCAAATCAAAATTTCTAATTGCATAATTTTGCTTTGACTCCCGAATGCCCCTTTACTCTATAAAACCCCCGTTATTTCTTCTGTTACGTTAAATGGATACTTACAATGATTTTCTTCTTTTTCCTTCGACAATGAATGATGGCAGAATTAAAAAATTTCTCTTCGAGGATAACTTTTCGTCGTCGTGTTCGGCGTAACACTTTCAGATTATTTTCTTCTCTACTGGTTTGCACAAAAACTTTTTTGATTTCTCACTCTTTACTTTTTTCAACTTGATTTTATATAGTTTCCTTTGGATTCAATGGCAGACGGGCAACAGCAGCAGCTAATTTGTACGTTCACTTTCTACAATTTTGCGAAACTTCCAAATCAACTGTGCTCGTGTTATGTTATGAATGAATTTATCACCTCTAGATTGTGTTGAGTTCTTGACTGCAGATTTATATTGAGTTTCAATAATAACAGAAGATAGCTTTGCGATGACATAGGTCCTCTGATAGACTCCGTTTTGGCAAATCTATTTCGGGCTGTTAGCGAAATTTTGCTGCCGTTCCTATGTACGCTGTTGACACGCTAATGGGACTCGTTATGTCGCTTTTGGCACAAAATAATGCAGAATATTCACTTGCTGCTGAGCTGTTGGGCTGCTTGGCTGCCGCTGGATTACTTGTTATTGATCTACGTTGATGCTTATCTCAACACTGATTTGAAATTGCAATGCTGCCAATTTATATGACATTCGTTGGTTTCAATGGTGGTTTTTTGCTTTTCAAAGTTCTAGATTTTCTTTAAATGTTCTTTTTATCTGATGCAGTCTCTTTATGCATATCTTGCAATAAACGTTTTTTTTTCTAGAAATTTATAGCCGTTTCAAGAGTATTTGATACTTTTGTAATTGTTGTTGTTGTTGTTGTTGTTGACACTTAGTCACACGATACACGTCACGATCGATTGTCTTAGAGCAGTAAAAAGTTGACATTACAATTCACGTTACACGTTTTTTTTTTTCAACAATTCCGACTATCCGGTTAAACAGACATACAAAAGTAAGTAGAATAACGATCACACGAGATTTGCCGTTCACAATATGAAGCAAAGAAAAAATATTACTTTCAGAATTTACTTTATGGAGCGGAAGAAGCTTGGTTGTTGGACACGTCGCTAGATTTTTTTATTGCTTGGAGAAGTTGTGTTTTACAGCTGAAAACTGTAACAGAACTGATTGAATTTTCTACCTTCGCTGCATTTTATAGAGTTGCTCTCACGTACATACGCGCCGTCTCATAGACCCAGTCGACGACGGCGGCAGCGACAGCGCAGCGCTGCCAGCAGTTTGTACCCGATCGTCGTCATACTCTCTATATACTCTATATACTCACGGCACAGTACTCACTTGAATGTGATTGGCTTGAATGTTGCTCGGCTATTGAGTTTGTGGTTTTTGGTTTGCTTTGGTTTGAATTGACTTCGTGTGTTTGTCGTGACTGCGCACATTGTAGGCAAGTTTGTTCGACTGATCGTCGTTCGGTAGCTGGTCTCACCGACATGTCGGTCGCGCGCCGCCTGACTAGTCGTCTAACCTGTATATTAGCCTCAGTCGTAGTGTTGCCAACACGATTTACCAATTTTCGAAAAGTTCTCGAGCAATGGAAAAATTGGATTTTTGAGAAATGTATGTCACGAATATCGGCATTCAAGTATTTTTTTTCTAATACACAACTGTGATCAGTTTGTTTTTGCAACTTTGCTAAATATTTGGCCAATAACAGTAGAAAGCAGCGTTGCTTTGCGTAATTTCCCCTCAGAAATATAGCAGCAAATTCCAATTAAAAACAAACTCTGATGAAACGAGCTTAACACGTTGAGGATTATCGGTGAGAAGAGTGCGTAACCAACCTCGGTAGGTGCTACAAACCACAATGCACCTGCTCTTCCAGCTTTAAAATTACCATCAATTCCACAATAGAAGACAATCTTAAGTGGCAACGCCTGCAACTTACTCACATACATACACGTACGTTTAAGAAAACAGATTATAGATCACACATTTCAATATACATACCTACTCGTATTTATGCGTCTCTGTAGAATTGAATTGTGCTAAGCTGCGTACACACACACACTTGACTGAAGCTTCAACATACCTCCAAGTCATTGATAATAAAACTGATAAGCCATTCATTATTCGACGCTCTTGACAGTAACGGTTAAATGTTGAAATTTTAATGTTCAAAAGGCGTGCATGCATACATATGTACATACACACTTGGATAAGCATACATATACATATGTATGCGTACATGCGTATGATGGTGCATAAAACGGTAAAGTAGTTGTGGTCAGTGTTGGTTGGTTGGCTGTTTGGCCCTCACTAGTTGACGTTAGTCCAGCCTCTTCAAGATAATGACCATTAATGTTGTCTGGTACTACACAAAGCTGCTTCTAAGCAATTCGTTTATTAGTTGAAGACTACGGAAAGAAGTGATTTCAAAGGGATAAACACATGTACATACACACGCATGCATGTGCTTAGTACAACTTGTAGATGCTGCTGATGAGCTGATTGTGACGTCACTTTCAATATCTGTCCTCTTCATATACAAATAACCGCTGAAGTGATTTTGAGCCAAACTCCTCCTACATATTTTAGTATATGTCTAGCTGTTTTTCAAACGAAATACCTCCAAAAGGCTGATGGATTTCTTTGAGGAGGTGTTGGTTTTCCCGTCAGAAATGCAATCGGAGCGGGAAACGCAATTAGAAAAATGTTTGGCATGTTAGTTTGGCTGGGATTCAAACCGCATGAACTTCTGTATGGCACAGCCGATTACTCGGCTACTGCAACAAATACATAGTATAGTATTACTTTTTTAGCTGATCTTAAGTTTTTATGGACTCAATAGAGGCATAGAGCAATATCTCCTCTTTTTCATAATAATATAGAGTTTGTATAATATAATGAGACTGCGTGAACGAGACTACCACAAAGTGGTTAGAATCGTTCGACTACCTCAGATCTTGCGCATCATTAAACAGAGCGTGCCAGAAATTAGGCTTTGATGCTGAGACCAATTGATTTACTCCCACTTTGGTAAGAGCGTTTTTGTCCCTAAGATCCCGAATCAAACATGCGGGTCAAGGAACTCACTTAAATGAGCACCTATGAATTTCACAGTAAAATGCAGATTCTCAGCTGTATTTTAGAGACTTTTCTAAGAGGTTTCCTACCTTCATTGGTAAGGGTAGAAAGGATTTTTTTTACAACTCGACGTTTTATAAGTAGTAACAGCTTTGCAGTGGCTCTAAATGGACGTCGGTTAGATCGTTTTTTTGTCTAGTCAGGGTTCGATTCTAATTGTGGTTACCTCAGCAGCGTATGCCAAGCCCTCCGTGTGGAAACGGTTTAGAATAAATTGCAGGTTCTTCCATTTGTTGGTTAATCAGCAAAATATGCACCGAAAATAGTCTAAACTTTGCCTTATCTGGTAAAAAAAATACCCATTGCAACAGCCTAATCTTGAATCATGTGGGATTTAATAACAGTTTATGCCCCTTTACTGTTCTGGTAGTAGGTATGTACTATCTGTGGTGCTCAAAAAGGGCACGAAGCACAAGATTCTTTTCTTTTAGTATGAAAAGGATAAAAATATATAGAGATGAGGTCATTTTAACCTAGCTTCAAGACAGCATGAATGGACTTGCAGTGCCAGGAACTTAGGGTTCACTTAGGGTTTGCCCTCGATCTAAACTATAATTAAATAATCCAGATTAATTTATCTCTACAAAAAAAATGACCATTTGAAGATTTACTAAATTCTATCAATACGAACTCCGTACACGAATATATCGGCCCTAAGTTTTTCCTTCTGCTTATTTAATCAGCGATGAATCAAATATTCCGCCCCAACTGTGGTGGGTACTGTCAATTAATCTCATTGAGTACATATAATTTACATAATTATCACATTTATCACTTTCATATATATGAAAAATTTTACATTCAATGTGCAACAACTGGCCTACGTGCCGCAATGAGCTGTTGTATTTGTACATATGTATAAATATTTCTACAAATCTACATATGAATAATATAGTAGAAAAAAGTGCATTTGCCTGCACTTTGTGCCATGTACAACCGGCCTAGACAGCTTGGCGTGCAATTGCACTGCAACGAACCAACACACCCACCCACCAGCCGCCTGACCCACCGACTAGCTGACTGGTTGACCGGCTGACTAATAGTCCATCGCACGACACGAGTGAGACTAGTTAGAGCGACAGGCAGTGCAGTGCGACTGGTGAATTGTGAGTATCAAAGTTGTGCGGTGACGGCAGATTTTTTAATTACATGAATGTAGCCTGCGGCGTGTAGAAGAAGATATAGGTACGTATGAACATATGTAGGTATGCATATATGTGTATGAACAATATGTATATAAATACTTATAAATATTAAGTGGCTTAGCTCATTCAGAGGAAACGTACTATATTTATTTTCTTTAATTTTCTCTACATACGCGTATGCATATATAGACACACTATATACAATATGTATGTACAATACATTTGTGTATTAATATCAGTTTAATTCAGTTTAAATGATAGTTGCCAGCTTGTCTGTGCTGGCTGACTATTACCGTTCCGGCTGGGTGCGGATCAGTTGCGCTTTGATCTCAACCTAACCACATGCAAATTCATATATACATATGTACATATCTATGTATGTATGCGTGAACTGATGATCTTTTGCACGTTATAAAAATTAAATGAAATGGAAATGGTTTAAACTACATACATATATACATGCATGCACATATATATATAAATATAAATAAAAGTACACGAATTAATGCAATAGTAGAGGAAATGATATATGTACATACAAGCATAAGTATAATATGCAAACCGCAATCATTATACCTACTGTGAAAAAATCAAACCGCAAAAACCACTTGGTGGGCCAAAAGCCAACAGAAACGCAACACTTTAAGCACGCCGAACCTCTGACTGCGTACCACCCGCCTCTCCTCGGTTAGCCCACACTAGCTAGTAGCTACCAAGTTGGCACGACAAGTACCGGTCTCTATAGCGTGGCGTGTTGCGTCAGGCGAACGTGGCAGACATTGTGGCAGCACGAAGCAATTTATTCTCATGTCGCTAAGCGAACAGCGTCGTACACAAAAATACTCGTACATAGTAAGTACTCGAATGCCAACAAATGTATGTACATACATTTGTGGCTACTTATATTTAAAGGGTGTGCTTCTGCGACGCCAACGGGGTTATTAAAGAGAGATCCCATTGAGGATTCGTCAATCGTCAACTTGAACCGAAAACCACTCAGAAAAACCGTAAAGTCAACTAATAACCTCTCTCCGCCCCTTCTGTGCATGAACAATGATGAGTTTTAGGAGAAGTAGCTCGAGCGCTGAGCTTATGGTGTGAATAGACCCACAACTCAATTCTTTCGACATCAAAACAGTTGCACAACCGGGTTCCAATTATAGAAGAGTTTTTGAATGATCTTTCCACCTACAGCAATAAATAAATGCATAAGCATTTTAAGTCGTCTCCGAACTGCTGATGGATTTTTATGAAGCACTTAATATTATATAGCCAATTTCTGGCTAGGGTCGAGCGCAAATTCTTCTACAATTTTGCAAATTGATCTGGCCGGGAGCTTCCGCACGCGCTGCTTACCGCTCAGTTTCAGAGAATACATCAGTAGAAGCTTTCTCTCTCTTTCTCTGAAGCCTTTCTCTACGGTTTCGTTTGATTTACCTACTGCTCGTCTTCTGAACGATTATTTATTTTTTTTTTTTTTTAATTTACTGAAATTAAAAGATATAGAAGGTATATAAGCCCTGCAAGACCTTCTCACTGTGTCAGGAGAGCTAATGTCGGTGAGATTTCTTATATCATAACTACGTTACTTCCGAGTTTTTAAGTTCGGGAAGAACCCTTTCTAAAATTCCCCGGCATTACATAATTTTAAATATGCCTCTATTATATCACAACTGCCGCACCCATTATTTCATATTCAAAGTTGCTATACAACTATTATGTAGTGCACAGAGTCCTCAGCATTCAAACACACGCGAAAGCTTTTCAAGCAACTTAACTCGCTTCAATTACTTTGGCACTGGCAGTGACAGTTGGGAAAGTGTTTGCGGAGGCAGGTGTACACACCGGGCGGCACTAAATATTACATACATTTATA